CTTCATTACCTCATCAAATTACCTGTTTAAATACCTCAATATTTGCTTTCCAAATTTCACCTTATATTCTTACAATGATCTTTCACATATATTTAAAAATAATTTTTTTATACTCTTTTAATATATTTTACAATGTTTCAATTCATTTATGGGATTTTGAACAGATGTATAATAATTATATTGTTCAGACCTTTATAAAATCTTGAGGGACTGTCTCCCTTATCCAAAAATTTGATGCTAGTGCATTCTCTCTTATCCACAAAATTTTGGAGCTTTTCCATAGATTTTCATCTTCTTCATTCTCTGATTTCTCCTCTTAAGTCTTAAAGTCTTAATTTTGTGCCTTTTCCCCTTGTAGATTAGAAGTATCTTCTGGTGGTAACCATCTATAATCAATTTTTAAAGTAGTTTGAGGTTCCATATATTCTTATTTTTTCTCTCTTTGAGTAGGTATTTCATTTACTGGTTCAATAATTCCTTATCTTGTCATTCTTTCATGGGGTCTCATGTTCAGTTCTTCAGTCAATTTGTCTCTTTTTGGATATGTTTTGTAGGTCATATCCATTGAATTATTGACTTCATCTTTTTCTCCCCAATACATCCAAGGGTCTTCGTTCTTTCTGCTGCTGCAGTCCCTGTTGGTAAACCTGAGGGGGCAGGGCGCTGCCCAGGTAGTGCGACCAATCTCTGTTCCACTAGCTCGGGCTGAAGTTGATTTTAATGCAGGAGCCCCTAGCACTAAGACTCTCTACTCGGCGCCATCTTATATAGTCGCCCTCACGGATGACCTGTGGAGGCATCTGGATCGGGGTGGAACAGCAGTGTTTTTGCTGTTAGACCTGACGGCAGCATTCAACATGGTTGACCATCAGCAACTGATCCACTGCATTGCTGACACTGGAGTCTAGGGACTGGCCTTGCAGTGGCTTGTTTCCTTTCTCCAAGGTCGGAGACAAAGGGTGGCATTGGGTGAACAGCTATCCTGAAGGCACCCACTGGACTGTGGAGTTCCCCGAGGGGCAGTGCTGTCCCCAATGCTTTTTAACATCGATATGCACCCCCTTGCCCAGAGACATGGGTTGGGATGTCACCAGTATGCAGATGACACCCAGCTCTATTTGCTGTTGGGCAGTCAGTCTGACTCCAAACCGGAAGATCTGGACTGGGTGTTACAAGCCGTGGCTGGTTGGCTTAGGCCGAGCCGGCTGAAACTGAATCCAATGAAGACAGAGGTCCTGTGCCTGAGTCAGGGTGGCCCAAGGGTAGGGATCCCGCTTCCAACCTTCCATGAGGCTCCTTTGGTGCCAGCACCAGAGGTTAGGAGTCTCGGAGCGCTCTAGACACCTCCTTAACGATGGAGGCCCAGGTAGCAGCCACTACCAAATCGGCCTTTTATCATCTTCGGCTGATCAGGCAATTGGTTCCCTTCCTCGAACACGACTTGGCAACAGTGATTCACGCAACGGTCACCTTGAGATTGGACTACTGTAATACTCTCTACATGGGGCTGCTCTTGTCTCTACATGGGGCTGCTGATGGGACTCCCTACTCAGGAGCACATCCAGCCTGTGCTAAAGGCACTGTACTGGCTGCCCACAGCATACCGGATTTGCTTCAAAGTGCTGGTTCTTACCTTTAAAGCCCTATACGGTCAGGGTTCTACATACCTGAGGGACCACTTTTCCCGACATGTACCCCCAGAGAGCACTGCGATCAGGGGCTCAGAACTGACCGGCCCTCCTGGGTCAAAACGAGGCCACGCTGACAGTAACCAGGGCCCGGGCTTTCTCAGTGGCGGCTCCTCTCTGGTGGAATGAGCTCCCAGAGGAGATTAGGACCCTGCGGGACCTTTTGCAGTTCTGCAGGGCCTGTAAAATGGAGCTCTTCCACCAGGCTTTTGGAGCCACCACTACTGTTAAGAACTGATAGCCAAGGGGTAGGGAGCCCTGTTTTTTTCTCTTGGAATTCTAACAGCCTGAGCTAGCCACCAGAAAGAGAACTAAAGAAGACCAAAGAACTGACTGTGAGAAGAGAAAACGGAACAGCAGCGCCATTATGAAATTAATGTCACAAGCACTTTACTATGTAGTCCAAATGGTTTTAGAATTGTTTTAATTTAATTTAATTTAATTTATATTTTATGTTTTATTGTAAATTATGCATCGATCGTATGTAAGCCACCCTGAGGTGGCCTTGGCTGGGACGGCGGGGTAGAAATTTAATATAAATAAATAAATAATATATATATATATAGTCTGAGGTTTATCCTATTATTCTTTCCCTGGAGGAGAAAACCTATAATGGCAGCAGGCCATAAAAGAGACCCAGTTTGGGAATATTTTAATGAAGTTCCTCTAACTATGGGTGAGGCAGGCATGGGTGCAAAATGCAAACACTGCAATGAAGAAACGCAAGGGCTGGTGGCCTGAATGAAACAACATCATGAGAAGTGCTGTGATGAAGACGACAAAAGGAACATGTTTGAACAGGCAGGATCTTCAGGTTGGTAAACGTTTTGATTTCACCATATTTCTTAAAGACTGCCTTGAGGAACTGCCATGTTTGAGCAAAATTTTATTTCTTAGTATTATTACTGCATGTTACTGTCATTTTGATACAATTGTGATGAAGAAATAAAGAGTTGAAACAAGCAAATATTCCTTTTGGGGGCAGTACTGAGTGGCAGTGAATACCATCAGTAATACAAAATAACCCGAAATTATATAAATAATAAAATAACAGCACTGACTTTTTGTTTAGGGGAACCCATCATCAACAGAAAAGATTATGGAACTATCCACCTTCGAGATCATTATTCTCCTGTCCTACAGTTTCAGAGTTATCTGTCCAGGATAGTGTTTTAGTCACATCGTATGCATCACACATCCACAGTATATCATCTCAAAGGGGGAAAAAAGCCAACCATCCAGGAATCACCATAGATAAGTTTGTGATAAAAACCAACAGATTAGAAAAAGTTAATTGATGGGAAAAATCGCCCAGTTTGTTTACACGTCAAACTCTTCTTTCCATCTGATTGAAAACCCACACTTCATGAATATGGTTTAGTAACTGAGACCAGGAGACAGTCCACCCAGCAGAGCAGATGTTGCAGGGAAATTGCTGGATAAAGTGGATGGCAGAGAAATGGAGCAATGTGCAACAGCTCTAGAGGGTAAAACTGTTAACCTAAATCTTCATGGGTGGAGTAATGTCCACAATGGTCCTGTTGTATGTGCTTGTATAACAACAGAAGAAGAGAATGTCTTCCTTGCATCTGTAATGCCAACTATAATAAATTTCAGAGCTAAGGGGAAACCATTCAAGAAAATTTATTTATTATTGATTATTTTCATTTATATCCTGCCCATCCCGCGGGCGGGTTCAGGGCGGGTAACATCATTAACATAAATACAATTTCAGTTTAAAACATTAAACATTAAAACACAATAAAACATTATAACAATTAAAACAATGGGTATACTACATGTTTGCTGATGATATTTTAAAGAAAGTCACACCAGTGAATTGGTGGAAGTCACTTAAGTACTTGTATTTAAAAACTGTTGAAGTAATGATTTCACTTTTAACAGCAGTAGCTTCTTCTGCTAGTACAGAAAGAATATGCTCTTCCTTTGGACTCATTCATTCTCAAGTGAGAAATCGTTTGGGACTTGATAAAGCAAGAAAGCTTGTTTTTCTTTTCCAGATTACAAAAGAAAATGAAGATGAGTGAGCTACAGAGGACAGTATTTTAAGTTTTTCATGTGTAGTCTGTTTTTAAAAATATATATATTCTGTTTAACCCCATCAGTTAACATGGATGTTTAAGGAATACAAGAATACATATGCTATAATGTTATTGTTTTAGTTAAATAAAACTATTTAAATTGTTATTATTAAGGTAATGATTATTTTTCTCCTTCCAATAAAGTACAGCAGAAAAGTTGTCCAAATATGAATGAATAACCTATTAAATTGGAGATAGTTATGAAAATATTGCGAGGTGAACGATCTATATGTGCTTCTAATAGTATAACCAAATCAGTAGTTTTTTGATATCTGTAAAACAAGTCTGAAAAGCTGTTCTTCTAAAAACAAAACCTTCATCTGCTTGTGAATATTAATATTACACCAGCAAGAATGAGTCTTTATGTAGAAAACCATGATTTAAATCTAGTCTTACCTACTAGTGATTTAAATAATGATTTCAATCGATTTGATTTAAATCAAATCCACCCTGTGAGTAAACAATACAGACTTTGACAGACCAATGGTCTGATTCAGTATCAGGCAGCTTCATGAGTCCCTGACTATTATATACAGCAATGTCAAAGATCTTTCCTGAACCAGTTACCCACCTGCATGGATAGCAAGTTCAGAGCGATATATTAATGTTCACATGGAAAATAGATTTAGTGCTTCTAGCGTACCAGAAGTAACATCTTATCAAGCACAGGGAGAACAGTACTTTTGGGATCACATCAAAACTAAAAATTTTCAAAATGAATAAGAGAGCATCAATACATCTAATTTTCAACATGACCCTATCTGTGGATACTTAAATCTGGAGACTGGAGGCATGGACAGACAAGACAGATCTTTCTACAAGCCTGAGAAAAGCCCCAGGTTCACTGAACAATGTAAAATCTTTTTTTAAAAATACAGTGATGCTGAAAATAAGGTTGTAGATAAAGTTAGGTGGGCTGGTGGCTGAGATGGAGAGACAGAAACAGGGAAAGGCTATGGGGATTTTTTTAGAAAAAGGAATAATGGGCGAGAGGAAAACAAGATTTCTCCCCTCAAAGGTCCTTGGTGGTCACCCACTTTCTTCAATACATACAAGACTCTAATAATATAGTACTGCAGTGTACAAATAATGCTTTCCAACTGCATGTTATCAGTCCCCATAGGATGGTGAGAGATAATCTTCACACATCACCAAAATATTCATAATGTTAGTTTAGTTCATTTATCTCTAAACTGATACTGATAAATACCTGTTCAGATGAGTTATTACGTATCTGAAGACATCATAGTTCACTGGATGAAATTTCTTCACAATTTCTTTTAACTCATAGAGCCGTTCTGTTTTATCAAGGATTTCTGTAGAAATAAAAATTGTTCCGTAAATACTAAAAAGGCATTTAAAGATGAACAATTTTACTAATCCCTATGCAGAGGGAGGAGACTGTGGTGGCTCAAGTGGTTAAGACGCTGAACTGCAGGCTGTGGAAGGTCAGTAGTTCAGCAGTTAGAGACCAGAGTTGCCACATGACGGAGTGAGCTCCCGTCTCTAGTTCCAGCTCCTGCCAACCTAGCAGTTCGGAAGCAAGAAATTGCAAGTAGATAAATAGGTACCACTTCGGTGGGAAGGTAACAGCGTTCCGTGTGCCTTGGTGTTTAGTCATGCCGGCCACATGACCACGGAAACGTCTTCGGACAGCGCTGGCTCTTCAGTTTTGAAACGGAGATGAGCACCGCAACCCCCTTTTTATGCAGAGGGAAGGAGAGTGACCATCAAATGAAATTTTACTTGCTGTTAAATTAGCCATTAAGATTACTTTTTAGAACTTGGAATTCAGGGGGGAAATTCCAGGTTTGAAAACAGCACCCTAATTATGAAGCAAAGAGTTGGATCCCACTGAAAACTACAGACAAGGGGAGAAGTGTTAATTCTATTCTGCTGCAGCAGCCCTCCAACTCCCCCATCACGCTGCTTCTGGTGGTCCCTCTGTCCCCAAGTGTAGTATTTGGGAGGCATTTTAGGCTGCAATGGGAGAGGGGAGGAAGTTGCAGAGAAGTTTTATATGGGATCCAACCCAATATTCCAACAGGCTTGTTACAGCAAAAATTTGGTGTGGAACATTTGGAATGGCTCTGGCCTTTCTAAACGATGTCTTTTTTCAGTTAACCAAAATGTAAAAGTAAAATCCCAAGGAACTTGGGTCCATAGTAATTTATACATAAGATTACACGCATATTCAGTTCTTGGTTACCTACAAAATGAACAAAATCTATTTTCTTAAAGAGTATGCATTAATGTTTGTGTCAAAGGCAAAAATCTTCATATTGCCTTTACCAAAAGAGATCTGTTCTTCTGTACCAAACTAGGAATTCTATGTATAACCAGCAGCACAGACCCAGTACCTGGGGTGGTTTTTCCCAAGAGAGAAACACTCCAAAACCACCTTTGAACCTCCACAAGCAGTGCCCTCATAAAGTGAGGCTTGGCTCCAACAGTGGCTTTTCCTGGGAGGCTAGGAGAACCACATTTTAGCTGAGAAAACTCAAGAGCCTATTTGCGCCGCAGTAATTTGACCCGCCACTGCGTGATCAGACGCAGTGGCAGGTGAATCGGGATTGTTTCTTCACTGCGTGTTTCCGGCGCGCTTCATTGAGGGATCAGTGATGCAATCTGAGTGCGCTGGAACGATCACACGGGAAACTTCGCCTGCGGCCCATCACAACTCATTTGAGACTGCATTTTCCCAGGTATAAACAGTTATCTATGGCAAATACTCCACAAAAGATACTTACTTGATGCATCAACTAATTCGGGATGTAGAGAATATGGAATTAATGGATCTGGAAGATCTGCAAAGAAAGCTTTAAGGGCTCCAGCCACAGCATTTACTGTTACATCCATAGATTCCAAACTGATACTATGATCTATAAGGTAATATTATAAAATTAGTTAGTAAAACAGTATTACTACAAATAAAAAATCAGTATAATGCCAGAGAAAATTAGATTGTTTTCACACAATGACCATCTGGGGCCCCTTTTAAAGAGGAAAGGGAGAATAAAAATATTTTAATTAATGCATAGTTGGAGGTGGGGACATACATTATTCCTGAGTTTAACAATTTTATTAGTATGGAGTATGAATAGTAAGTGACCATGTGCAAGCAAACAATAGAGCTTGGTAAGAAAAAACATGGGGATTGGCAACACTGTATAGTTATACGGCAATTTTCCCCCTTAACACTTAAGAGCAGGTAGTTATCAGTAATGTAATGATGTAGAACAGCAAGCCAGACATTCCAAATAGCTTCACAATATACTAAAGCATCCATTTGCTCTGTGGCTGAGAAGTCACTCCCTTCCCCTCAACATGCAACTTTGTACTGCTACAAAAATATAGTTTTCGAAATGCAATGTCACAATATATTTTATAGTACTAGGACACTGTGTTAGCTAGATGACAAAAGATAATACTTAAGTTATTCATACACACGTCTTAATATTCTATGAACCACTATATCTGAACCATTAGCAGCCATCTATAATTTCTGGAAAATTTGAAGCCATGTAAGAAAGGAATCTTTACATTTAAAAATAGAAACTTAAGAAAATGTAAGGAACAACAACCAATCATCTTAGTTTGACCATGTTTCTGCAGGTAAGAGGATAATCTCATCTCTGATGTCATGATGAGTTTTAAAGGCTTAGACAGGCAGGAAGAACTCACACTGCTTCCAAGTACTTCAGAACCATGGTCAGAAAAGAGCCCCTGTCATCTCTCATTTTATACATTCAAAATTGGGATAAAAGTTAGCAAGATCAGGTGACTGGAACTGTGGGTAGCCATGCAGAAGAGCTGTTATTTGGATGCTGGGTACCCTCACTGTATTTCAGAAGATCTGCTGGGGGGGGGGGGAGGAGATGTACTAATCTACTTGTGAATGTGACAGATCTTGTGTTGGAACCCTCATGAGAATATACAGGTTAGGTAATTACGTATGGCAGATATAGAAACTTGAAAGAAAAAAGATGAAATGGCAAAAGAAAATTTCCTCAAGGCTCCCTTGTTATGCAAGAAGAGAACATGGGAAATGGGGAAAAAAAGATTTAAAATGATAGCAATCCTCTACCTTCTGATCTAAAGAAATGAAACACTGGCCAGCATCAGGCATGGGCTTGGCCCCAACACAGGAACTTGCTAATTAAAAGATATATTCAGCACTGATGACTGTATTTATGGACTCTTCAAATCTAGAGGCCATTTATCACCTTAAGAAAAGATTGAATACATTTTGACAGATTCACAATTAAGGCCACTGCACCCAGACATCTTAGAAACACTGTGGATACACAGGTGCATCCAGTACCTGACAATCTACAGTGGCCTTCAGAACATAAAAGGTGACCTCTCAATTATAACAGAAAGTAATGCAAAATGTGAACAAACTAGTGGTCTTGGCCTACAATGTCTAATGATGTCATCACAATGAATCAGTGCTAAAATGCCAGATTCAGTGTCAATCCAGAGCCCTGTAGCCTCATAGTCTTGGCCTATAGTGTCTAATGATGTCACAATAAACAAGTGCTAGTATGCCAGATTCAGTCCCAACCCAGAGCCCAGATTAAGTTCCCAGATGTATGACAGGATGCCAGGGAAGTGAATTTGATTATTCTGAGAAATCTAAATAGAACTGTGATTACATGGATATGATCAAAACCCCTAGCCATCATTAAATTTTAAAGTCACAGACCAATAATTCTGAAGGTAGAAAATGGGACATGTTCTGAGGTACTGGATTTAAAAATTAATCCTTCCTGGTTTTTAAAATGAAATTGGTTACTATGATCAGTCTATCAGGTTGTTCTCTGAGTGAGTTTACTGTTTTCTAATTTACAAAACACTACCTTTCCAAATATCTGATGATTCTGCAAACCCTAACATGTCAGAGGGAAGTTTCATTATCCTACCAACAGACACCTGACCATCAAGTTTCTATTAGAAAGAGCAATGTTAATTACATGGTAAAGGTAAAGGTTCCCTTGCTCGAAAGCCAGTCGAATCCGACTCTAGGGTTGCGGTGCTCATCTCCGTTACAAAGCCGAAGAGCCAGCGCTGTCCGAAGACGTTTCCGTGGTCATGTGGCCGGCATGACTAAACACCAAGGCGCACGGAACGCTGTTACCTTCCCACCGAAGTGGTCCCTATTTATCTACTTGCAATTTCTTGCTTTCGAACTGCTAGGTTGACAGGAGCTGGAACTAGAGACAGGAGCTCACCCTGTCTTGCGGCCCCCGGGTCTTGAACCACTGAACTACTGCCCTTCCACAGCCTGCAGTTCAGCGTCTTAACCACTTGAGCCACCGCAGCTCCTGTAGTTACATGAATTCATGTTAAAAGTTCTTCTATTTATCAGACAAAGGCTATTTTAGGGTTTAGGGTTTTAAATAAAGCAGACAATATTCCATACACAGCAGTTCACCACATCCCCCTGTATTTGACATTAAGCAAGTAATCTATTACCTTGATCAAACTGTTTCTGAATGTTGTCTTGGTCAGTTTTATTTCCACTAACACGATAGAGACCTTCGGTACACAAACCTTTGGAAAAAGAAAGCAGTTTCCACATGATTTTTATACACTATCATCAAGGCCCTATATTTGTGCAAACTTCATTCCATAAAGCAGTATTTGTTCCATAAAGTAGGTGCTTAACACTACACTATTGATTCCTTCAGTAAATAGTGTTTATTGCTACAGGAGAATACAATCACAAGAATTCTAATAGGGAAGCAAATCTCAGTTTGATCTCAGTAGAGCTTACTTCTAAGCAATTATGGCTGTAACAATAATTAACTTCTCAACATGAATTCTGACCTCTGTTAAAATAAATGTATCAAGCTTATACAATTCAAATTTTCTGTTGTGATCATACTTAAAAAAAGAGAACACATGAATCCATAACATTAGGACCCATTATAAATAAACCCCAATGAGAATGATTTTGTGTGTTTAATTCCCATAAATTAAAAAAAAAAATTCTCATAAGACTACTGATAGAGTAATGAATTCAGAATGCTTTACAAATAACACACATTCAATATGCCGCTTTAAGGCAGAACATAGCATTCTAGGACACTGAAGTAAGAAACAACACATAAGAGAATCCCAAAGAAAACAAGGATGAGACCAGTATACTGGCATCAGGTGTCATGACAAATGTCTGGTGAATGCAGATGAATGCAGTTTATTCTCTTGTTTGGGTGGTCCCTGGGCACCTGTCATTCATAACAGTGAGTGTGACTGAAAGCTTTCTGGCTGAGAAATCTTGAATCAAGCTCCAACTGCCATAGAGTTATAGAGTTGGAAGGTACCTAGAGGGTCATCTAGTCCAATCCTCTGTACAATGCAGGAAATTCACAAATCCCTCCCGCCATACCCCTGGTGACCCCTGTTCCATTCCCAGAAAATGACAAAAAACCTCCAGGATCCCCGGCCAAACTGGCCTGCAGAAAAATTGCTTCCTGACCCCAAAGTGATTATCAGTATTTCCCTGTGCATGTAAGAAAGGGTCACAAGAGCTAAGCAACCCTTCCCTCCCTCCCTCTAATGATTAGCCTAAGTTCACAGAATCAGCATTGCTGTCAGATGGCCATCTAGCCTCTGTTTAAAAATCTCCCAAGAAGGAGAGCCCATTACCTCCCAAGGAAGCCTGTTCCACTGAGGAACCACTCTGTCAGGAAGTTCTTCCTAATGTTTAACCAAAAACTCTTGTGATTTGGTTTCAACCCACTGGTTCTGGTCCGACCTTCTCAGGCAACAGAAAACAACTCCACACTATACTCTACATGTCAGTCCTTCAAGTACTTGAAGATGGTTATCATATCACCTCTCAGTCATCTCCTCTCCAGGCTAAACATACCTAGCTCCTTCAACCTTTCCTCATAGGATTTGGTCTCCAGACCCCTCACCATCTTCACTGCCTTCCTCTGGACACGTTCCAAGTTGCCTATATCCTTCTTAAATTGTGGTGCCCAAAACTGAACACAATACTCTAGGTGAGGTCTAACCAGAGCACAGTAAAGCGATACCATCACATCAAGTGATCTGGACACTATACAGCCCAAAATCACATTTGCCTTTTTAGCTACCGCATCATACTGCTGACTCATGTTCAGTGTATGGTCTACAAAGACCCCTAGATCCTTTTCACACATACAACTGTCAAGACAAGACTCCCCTATCCTATAATTATGCATTTGATTTTTCCTACCTAAATGCAGAACTTTACATTTATCCCCACTGAAATTTATTTTGTTTTAGCCTCATAGACTTGGCCTACAGAGTCTAATGATGTTGTCACAATAAACCAGAGCTAATATGTCAGATTTAATGCCAACCCAGAGCTCAGATTAAGTTCCCAGATGCATGACAGGATGTCAGGGAAGTTAATTTGATTACTGAAAAATTTAAGTGGAACTGTGATTACATGGATATGATCAAAGCCCCTAGCCATCATTACGGTTTAAAGTCACAGACCAAAAATTCTAAAGGTAGAAAGTGGAACATGTTCTGAGGTACTGGATTTCTGCTGCCATCATATCTTCCATTACCCTTGCTCACTGCAGTAGCAGCAGGTGTTGCTTTTCTCTCACCTTCGCTTCCCACCACCCACCTACCCACTGTGGTAGCTTTACCTGGTCCTGGAAGGTTTTCTGGTGGGGAGGGGCCCTTTCTTTGGCTCTTATTTATTTTTATTTAACTATTTTTGTGACATCGGCAATGACATCAAGTCCCCCAGTGCCCCCCACCAAATTTTTTCGGGCTATGGACCTGCTGGGGGGTTGTGGGGCTAAGGAAAGATGCCGGGTCTATTAATAATAAGATCACCATTCTTCGAGACTATCTTGCAGAGCGAAATGTAGACCTGGCCTTTGTGACTGAGACTTGGGTGAAGGGGGGTGAAACTGTCACTCTAACCCAGTTTACTCCACGAGGGTTCTCAGTCCTCCACCAGTACTGGACTAATGGGCGGGGGGTGGGAGTGGCATTGCTTATCTGAGATTCTTTTTCCTTCAGGGCACTCCATGCACCAAAATTAACTGGCATTGAATGTGCTGGGCTGGCATGGGAATCTGAGGAGAGTTTGGTTGGTGTATCAACTGCCTAATGCACCACCAAATAGCCTGCCTGGCCGGTTGGACGCTGTATCGGGCTGGGCTTTGAAATACGCCAGGCTGTTGGTCCTGGAGGACTTTAATGTCCATGCCGATGATGCGTCATCCTCTCAGGCTAGAGGCCTGGTGTCATTCGTGGAGGCACTGGAACTCTCCCAATTTATATCGACTCCCACGCATCAAGCAGGCCACATGCTGGATCTGATTTTTGAGTTGGGGATAAATGTTGATCTGGAAGCTGCGGAGATGGTACCATGGTCAGATTATTATGCCTTGAAGGTCCGGTTGGGCATACCAAATCCTCCCTGTTTAGGTGGCAAGCAGATTTATGCTTGCCCACAGAGCCTAATGGACCCTAAGCGGCTTCAGGATGCTCTGTGGGATCCAAGGCCCCCTGGCAGCTCGTTAGATGATCTGGTGGAGGACTGACATCACCAGTTCTCCCAAGACACTGATGAGAGTGCCAGGGCTCTCTCTAGAGCCAAACTAGCTCTGGGGTATCATCTGGGATGATGAAGCAGGAACCGAGATGGTTAAAGCGAAGGTGGCGGCGTGCTTGTGATGAGGCGGCAAGAACATCTTATAGGATGTTTATGAAAGCATATGTGCCAGTAAACTGCCATTTGTATTCTGGGTATGCTCTGTGTAACCTGCCTGCTGTATGATGGGGGGGACTAGTCTGCATTTCCCAGTTCTCATCCTCCAAGCGCTTTGCCGTTTGTTTTGACTTTGGAATGTTATGCTGCCTTTGTAGTTGATAAGACTGTTGCTGCAGCCGTTCCCAATCTAGGCGGTGTGAACCAAATGGCTGACAGTTATCTCCCGCCTTGGTTTTCTCCCGCTCGAATTCCTACTGAGCGCGAACTGTATTCATTGGCTTACCTTTACTGTTTGAACTGCCTATATCTGTACATGCTTGGCTTTGAGTTTCATTCCTGACAATGACCATGAAAGTGTCTCAATAGTGACTTGTAATAAAGCAACCTATTCTTATGAATCATTGTGGACTGCAACTGCTCTGTTGAACCTGACAATATGAGATGACAGTGAAGACTGCAAAGAAAGATTTCTATACAGCTTCCTTTGCCATCTGCAAGCTCTCACCCAGTCCAATTATTTAAAATTCCATCATTGACAATATTGACAATATTGCCGCAAGGCAAACAAAATAATAGGGAATTGGCTATTGGCTGTGAGGCATTTGCAAGCTTTTTTGCAGATAAAGTCATGTCGCTCCACCATGACCTCCTGACCACAATTGAAACAGTAAGGGAACTGGAAGCTCCTTGCCTGTCTTCTCGTCCTTTATTGGACCATTCTGACTGACTCTCCTTGGAAGATATCAACAGGATCCTAGCAGCTGTTAACCCTACCATTTGCCCCTTAACCCATGCCTGTCCTGGCTGATTAAGGCCTGCAGGGACGGTGTGCAGGACCCCCTGGAGAAGATTATCAACTTGTCCCTTTCAACAGGGACTTTCCCTGTGGGGTTGAAGGAGGCAGTGATATGTTCACTCTTGAAGAAACCATCTTTAGACCCTGTGGTTTTGTCCAACTATCGCCCAGTGTCTAACTTGCCCTTTTTGGGTAAAGTGATTGAGAAGGCGGTGGCCAAGCAACTTCAGGATTTCCTGGAAGAAGCACAAGTCCTGGATCCATACCAGTCCAACTTCCACCCTGGTCACAGGACAGAGATGGCATTGGTTGGCCTCATAGATGACCTCTAGAGATAGCTGGATCAGGGTAGGTCAGTGCTGCTGTTGCTCTTAGATTTGACAGCAGCATTTGACCCAGTCGATTACGATCTGCTGACCCACCACCTTGCCAACATAGGAGTTCAGGGGACTGCCTTGCAATGGTTTTCCTCCTTTCTTCATGGCTGGGGACAGAGGTGGCACTTGGTAGAAGGGTCTCCCAGTGGTACCCACTTGAATGTGGTGTGCCGCAGGGGGCAATCCTTTCACCAATGCTTTTCAACATCTATATGTGCCCCCTTCACCCAGCTCTATCTGTTGGTTGATGGATGGCCGGCAGGACTCCACCCCAGAAAATCTGGGCAGGGTGTTAGATGCCATGGCTGGGTGATTACAACAGAGTCGATTGAAATTGAATCCATCAAAGACAGAGGTCCTGTGTCTGAGTCGGGGTGGTGTAGGTTCAGGCATTAGGCTCCCGGCTCTTGATGGGGTACAGTTGGTGCCTGCACCAAGGATTAGGAGCCTTAGTGAGATCCTGGATTCCTCACTTTCTAAGGAGGCCCAGGTCGCCACCATTGCCAGGTCTGCCTTTTATCATCTTCAGCAGGTCAGGCAATTGGCCCCTTCTCTCTCCACCCAGGATCTGGCTACAGTGGCCCATGCAATGGTTACTTCCAGGTTAAACCACTGTAATTCGATCTACACAGGCTTTCCCTTGAACCTGACC